CATGAACTGAGTACAGATCGCGTTCACGACCGGAAATTAGTTCCTGGGGGTGGATTAGGCAAATGAAGCCGCTGACGTCACTTCTTCTTCTCTGCTTTGGGTTTACTGGCAGGCCGCAAACAACTTCACGGCGTATACTGCCGCCCAAAATCCCCGGCCGGAAGTCCCCGGAGTTAGGGACTGGCTTCAGTAGAAGCTGCTGGGAACTCCCAGCAGCTTCTACTGAAGCTTTCTGAGTAAACGGCCAGAACGCCGACACCTCCTCATCTCCACCGCTCCCATGTTTTATTTTGAGTTGTCATAAGTTAGTCTCTCTGCGTTTTTGCGCTGGGCTAATGCTAATGCTAATAATGCAATGCGAGGATAATAAAATGGCGGCTTCACAAACATTTTTGGGAGTTTGACCGGGCGTGGTTTGCATTCCGCCCAGCCAATCAGACACAGGAACCTTTTTCTCCCACGAAAGTCCCTGCTCTCTAGCAGGGACGGAAAAGGGGGTAAAAAAGGTTCTCTAGAACTAATTTAGTTCCTGGGACTTTTTGGTGTGAACGCAACTAAATCGTAGTTCTCAGGAACCTTTGTGGGAAAAGTACTTGGTGTGAACGCGCCTAATTAGTAACTCTTTACCATTGCTGATAACACACCGACTGAAGTGATTTCAGTGAACAGGTGATTCAGTGAATATATAAAATATTTTTTTTGTAATACAGGTTGCTGTTCAATTCCAGTGTCAAACAGCAGGAAATAAATATCCTTTAAGTCCATCTGTGTGGAGACTGAGTGTGTCTGACATGCACAGTCAAGACAGACAAATGAGGTGAACATGAGATTAACACGCTGTGGTGATGTTCATGCTGTTGGCATCTCCTCCAGCGTGAAAGGCCAAAGTGCCAAGTCCAAGTGAAGTCTGCCAGGCCATGTTTACATGAAGGAGTGGGAAACATATCCATTTCATGTATATAGTTCATAGCACTGCACTACTAGTTGCTCTTCGTGGCAGAAGCTGTCCGTCTCTCCTCCTCCACAGGCTGAATTGGATTGTCTGGTCTTATGGTGTTCCCTAGCAACCGTTATAGTTCCCTTCTCATTTACAATCTTCTCAATGTATGTGTGCCCACGGTTTCCTAAAATTGTCCCTGATCTGGTGTAAATGTGTTACACAATCAACCTCTTTTATTTTGCTGCCGTGTGTTGTTGTTGACAAAAGAGAGTGTTCACATTAAAGTTTGCCATCAATGTTTTTCCTCCAGCTTTTCCTAAGCTTAGCGTCTTCCAGGAAGTGCCAGTGGAAGCTGTCTTACCTTGTTTCGTCTTGGCTCTGCTTTTGCTTTTTGATGCCCTGCAGTAAAACCTTAACCAGTTGGCTGTAGATGCAACAATATAAAGTAACAAGAGCCTACTTAAATAGAGGATCTTAACTGATGTGGATAACGTAGCTCGAATGATGCTAAATAAGTCACTTCTCAGCATTCCCTTCCTCTGATATGTCTTCTTACTGGCGTCATGTCTTTATGTAAAGTTCAGCTGCTTCACTTGTCAATGATGTAGCTCTCTGACCAAGTTAGGAAGGCTGTTGTGTAGACGATTAATTTGTAGAAGAAGTTGGTGTCTCGTGGCTGTCAAAGAAACATTTTTGTAATATTATCCCTGGCCTGTATAAACTGTGTTAGAGTACACAGTGCCATTAGAGAAGGCCTGGCAAGGATCCTGAAACATCTTCATACAGTATAACGCATCTATTGACACACATAGTTTTAGAAATGGTAATAAAAATATAAAAGCTACTTTGAGTATTTCACACTCCACAGCGGTATGTCTGTAATGTCACATCGTAAAACAAAACCAATCTGTCCGTCGTCACTTCTTCCCATTGACAAGAAACGGCAGAACAGTTTACACAGTGGTGTGGCCCTCAACAGATCTCTGCCAGTCGGTTATGTGGACACACACACACACACACACACGCACACACAGACTATTAGTACAACAGGCCTGCATGAATGTCAAACAGCACTGTCTGTGCCCACTGTTGCAACTTCTGTACAGTGTAAACTTAAATCTTCTAGCATTTTCTAAGTTTTCAAAGTTACACCCATGAAAAACAATTAAGCATCCAAAGATATAACTGGTAACAAAACACCTTAACATGTCTTAAGGTCTATATAGGCTATGTATATTTTATTGAGCTGTGTACTGATTTTATTGAGCTGTCTACTGATTATTCTAAAAGTTTCAAACCATTTTCAGACCCAGAGCAAGCCATAATTCATTTAAGGTAAGTGTCCATTTCAGATGTTCAACTATAAGTTGCAGTAAGTGCATTGTAATTGACTTTTTAAGTTTAAATTGTAGTCGTTGGACGTCTAAATCAGTTATAAGGGAACAAAGCTGAGAAAATCAGTGAAGCAGAAACCCTGATTTTTAAAACGACACAGTTTACATTGGGTAGATTACTAGTAGTAGATTTGTATTGCAGTACTGCATCACATCATATCATTGTTATGTTTAAAGTCACTAAGGAATAGACTTAATGTGTCAGGTGAATGTTGCAGGTCATTTGAATCCCTGTAAAAACATCCTGAACAAGTAGAACAAACTGAGCAAACGTTAGCATGTAGCCCCTCCATGTCAATCCAAACAGAGTAAATAATATTTAACAAGAAAATGATTTTTTTGTGTTTACACCAGTTTAACTGAACATGTCTGTTTGTTTTGGAGAGGTAGAGGCCTGTGTGGATAATTTGGCTTACAGTAATAAACGTCTGTATCTTCAATAACCAGAGAAACAAGCTTGGCAAACAGTAGCAGTTTGTCTATCATTCTGATTCACTTTTAGTGGCATCAAATTTCATGTTATGCTTTTAAATCAGTGAGCCGGTGCACACCTTTCAGAGGTTAGTGGGATTCATATACAAAAACACATTCACATGTCATTCTCATCCTCTTTGTGTTTGTCCCGGCCTTCCCTCAGGACTTGTCACCATTAGTAGCAGCAACGGTATGTGAATGCTAATGCCCCTCGGCCTGGATGAGTGTAACATGCATTTATCATGTGAGGAAACTCTACATGTATACCCTTTTTTTCCCACGTTGTGCTGGTGACCTGAACATGCCTTAAGGTGATCTACACGTGAACACTCCTTGGCAGTAAAAGCCCAGCTCATAGGTTTGATTAACACTTTTCGTAAAAAATGAGGGTGAAAATATGCCTTTTAAACAGATGTCAAGTATAATCCTTTCAGCGTTCATTTGACTGCTAGACAAAGAGAGTGAGACTCTGGTATGATGGCCGTTAATGACAGGGGTCTTAATGTGTTTGAGACATGCTTGGTCTGTCCCGTGGTGGAGCTGAGTGATGTGGGAGGGGTGAGGGGTGTTCACACAAACAGCTGCCATGTGAGTTGTGCAGTAAAAAATGTGATGTGAGTAGGTGGTCCAGTAATGATAATGTAATGTGCAGTGGGGCGTTTGACAGTTTCTGAAATGGGCAACCTGTCCCGTGTTGATGGCGGAGGAACACCTGTTTTTCATATTTGACATCCTGGATCAGAACCTTATATTGAGATTGATTTTTTTTTCTTTTTGCATTTTCATGTCCATCTTTTAGTCTGCCCTGTTCAAATGTCTCTTTTAGGGGCATTTTAAGACTTTATTTATTGTAGTCACTTTAGTGCAAGTCTCTCAGTCATGAATAGATGCACACTTCCTTTGGCAGGGTGACACAGTTTGAAGGTATAACATGGTAGAAAGAAAATAGTTCCTACATTATAACAGACAACTGGATTATCTTGAGTTACCAGGTCATAATTTCTACAAGGAAACATTGCTGTTACTTTTCTAAATGTATTTCTTTCATGGCTTTTTGAGTACCACAAGCTGCCATCTACTTCCATCTTTATTCAAGAGAAGCCAGGCATCTCTACGGCTAATAACTCCAACAATCGGTAACTCACAGGAAAACAATCCACATCATTGAATAGCACTACAGGTAAAAGAAAAGAAAACATTTTGGATTTGGGATGAACTGTCCCTTTTTTCCCCCCCAATACAGTAAGATACAAATAAAAATAAGATAAAGAAATAAGATGCCAACAATAACATCAATTGATATTAAAAGGAAAAGTATGAAATGATCCTGGCAAATTAGAACAAACAAATCAGGAGAAAAAAACTTTGAATACATTCCTACTACTAGAAAACCCAATTTGCTGATGATTAGTAAGAGGCTACGTGTGACTTTATTTCAGGAATATTGGGGCTTTTGTATTTAATACAATAATAGAACTCGGTAGGGTTATAGTTTGTTTCTCCCATATCAGTCTGCAGGTTCCACTTCTGCCACTCAGTACCGCGGGGTCGCTGTAGCTGCCATTTTTCCTCTTTCTTTCTGCACCGAATTGGCACTGATTGGCACCGACTGACAGATAGTAGAAGGTAATGAGGAGGTCTCACTCCGACATATTCTCCCTCTACCATAAGTAACATGTGAAGATTGAAGTTTCACAATTCAACCATGCATGTTAGACAGATATACATTTACATCTGGAGCTAGATTGACTTTAACTATAAAAAGTAGTATGCGTTTTAAAATGTAATTATTAAGTCACCGCTCCGCTTTATGCCGTATCGGTCTGGAAAGTGGGTTAGATGTTTTGCTCACGAGTGCGTTGTCTTTGCTAAATCATAGACGATCTTTGTTACTGGTTTCTGAGCTGGTGAGGAGGAGAGCGAGAATCCGTGTGGACCACAGCTTGCTGCTGCAGCGGCTCGGACACACACACATACACACACACACACACACACTGGCCGGGCACACACATACACACGCTCACACATCATCATTTTCTACAGCATTATCACACACTCACTGCCGGGGGAGGACACGGGAGCCGGTTTGCAGCCGACGGTGAGTTGGAACATCCTTTTTTCTTTCTTTGAAGATGGAGATTTATGCTCCCCCGTTGTCTGCAATATCAACATATGTCGCTGGAGAATTATGGTGCAGTGGATGTGTCAAAGTCAGTTTTTTGGTGATGCTGCTTCACTGGGATGACCAGGTGCAATATAATGGATGCCGATTGTCGTGTTTGATTTTTTTTGGTGTGCTGGGCATCAAAGCAGCACTGCACTGCATGCATGTTGGAGAGGGAATGTGTTGATCTGCTGCTGCTGCATGGATGATGTGTTCAGGGTTGCAGCAGCAGGGCTGGTTAGAGCTCATTGTTGCTGCCGGCCGGTGCAGGCCTGCAGGCTGAGAGGATTATTTGATGTCTGCCAGTGATGCTGCCAGATGTAGCTCAGATCCTCAAGCTGTCAATCCAATTGTTGTGACTTTAAGACACACAGGCCCTGTTGGCACATATTACATTCAGACATATATGAATAGTCAGCAGGTGTCTATTGGTCAGTATGGCGGGTGGGGGCCTCTTTTATTATTATTGATCAACCTTTTTCATTGATTCTGCCATAAAATAAACAAGAGGGCTCCATGAAGGAATATTATTTGTGATGTAGAATTGTCTTAAGCATGATAAAAGACAGAGAGGAGAGGGCACCATTAAAGATGTGCTCTGCAGTTGGGAGTTGACATTGGATTGGTCATCAAAGGAGAATCATCTTTTGGATTGGATATCCCCACATGTTAGGAATTCTTTGGATTCAGTATTGGTACAAAACATGATAATTCAATTAATATTTCAATACATTTCAAGCAAAAATGGACACTCTCTGGTTTTAGATTCTTAAATGTGATAATTTGCTGCTTTTCCTTGTCATATTTGATAATCATATTGACAGTGTGACTAGTTTTAGACTTTGTATGGATATAATGTGATTTATTTGACCCTCAACCACAGTGTACATTGGTTACAGGCAATATTGAAAGAAATACTCTTACACTTAAGTAAAAAAAGGAATACCTCAGTAGTAAACAAGTCAAGTAAAATGTCAAAATGGCACTTAAGTAAAAGCACTGAAGAAGTATCATCTAAATGTACTCAAAGGAAGCCAAGTACACATTTTCGATGTGATATTATTCCGTTGAAATCACTTACCAATGCATGCAAGAGCATACGTTGGGATTAGTGGTAGTAGATGTGTAGTGCAGTACTGCATCATATCACTTTTTTTAGTGTCAAGAGAATGTTGTAAAAAGTACTACATTTCCCTCTAAAAATGTAGAGAAATATATGTATAAAGTAGCATAAAATGGAAATATTCAACTAAAATTAATAGTATATCAAAATCGTACTTTACTTCTGCACTTGAGTAAATGCAGTTACATTCCAATAGTGTGAATTGGTGCCTATACTAAGGCTTTAATATAGGCACCAATTTTCATCTCTTCTGTTTATCCTGCCCAGTTGCAGTGAATGGGGATCCCTCTGTTGCAGCTGCTCTATAATGCTAACATTAGCCCGCTAACCTACATTCTCAAAGTTCCTGTCAGCAACTCATACTGTATTCTTATATTCAGCAATATAGGACGATGAGGCTCTCTGCAGTTGTTTTCTAACCTTTTGTTTGTGAAGCATAAAGAAACATAAACAGCTTGATTTGAGGTTATTCAGTGCAGACAGTGAAATGTCACAGCAGGAAAAAGCACAGGTGTAAACAATCACATTTAACGAGTGGGTGAATTCCATTAAGACACTTGAATAGAGCGCAGCCCTCTTTAATGTTGTGAGTAACACCTGTGCTTTCACACTGTAACCCATCACTTTATATCAATTACAAAATACCACACATAACATATTTCACATTTTAAGGCGAGATACTTCATGTACTGGTAATTTTGTGAGTTTGGCTTCTTTTTTGCTTCACATAACATAACATGACTTTCACATTAGATGAAAGACCCAGAATTCACATACAGGTGTATTTGACAAACTTTGTCGATTTGCTTCTGTATATTTCTCCTTAATTTAACAATATTTAGCATCAGATTTAAACAAAACATTTCCAAAAACACAGTGGTATCTGTGTATTTTTATGTTTTATTTAAAAAACTCTACTGTAGCCTAAGAAAGGACTTTTTTCATTGATGTTTCTTTTTTAAATAATATTTATTTCTAATCATTCTGAAAACTCCGCTTAGCACTGACATACGACAAACTCCAGTTTCATTATTTTTGTTATTCATTAATAACCTTATTTTTAGGACATTTTATTAAAAAAAATATGGCTTTTTGGATCTACGTAGTCATAAAAAGAGATATCCAAAATCCCATATAAATACAAATATGTTACTCTTTTTGTTTCAAATGTTAACACCTCTTTTTCAGAAATCCATGCAAATTAAACATATTTAATAAGAAAATGCCTCATTTGCATATCGACATGTGTAAGTGTTAAACCAAAGAAGAGTCTTGGTCACTAGACACAGTGTCTCCCCTTAGATACTGAACAGCTCCATTTATCTTAATGTATCTGGGCTATTAATCAATTAGTACCAGTGGGAGTACATCTCCATTTGAGAATGAAACTCACGGGATGATGTGGCATGTCATGGCAGGTATCGAGCGTTGGCAGCACCATCACCATTCCTGAGCCACCCCCCTCCCATCACAAGACATTGCCTCACCTTGACAACTCCCCAGCACTGAGCCATTACTCAGGGCAGACGCAGAGTCCCCCTCACTCTCCTCCTCACTCTCCTCCTCACTCTCCCATTTATCCACGGCCCATTAGACACAAAGTCAGGTGACGGAGCTTATGGTGAGTTTTCATTCTCATTCTGTCTCCTTAAGTGATGACACAATTTTCAGACACGGAACGATGCGCAAGATTGCTTGGCAGGCTGTTTGGGGATTATAAGGTCCAGGTTCACTTCTTTAATTTCCCTCAGGCGACATTGAAACTGTAGATTTTACTTGCAGGAAGATTGGACGCCAAAGAAAACACTCTGAAACACTTCAATTACAGGGCCAAAGTAGTTTTACTCTCTTAAACCTCTTGTGTACGTATTGCAATTCTGATACACTGGCATACTTTTATGAAATATTCTTCCCATTCTTGATTCTTTACCATTAAAGTTTACCATTAAAGGGTGTCGTATTGTCATACTGATATTCTGTACAAACTGTGAAGTCCACTGAGACAAATGTAACATTTGTGATATTGGGCTATAGAAATAAACATTGATTGATTGATTGAATGGTCTGTAAAATAAAAAAGCAAAAACTGCTTGTCACAGTTTCCTAATGCCCATGATATGATATATTTAAAAGGGTTTGAANGGGACACAAAATAGGAGAGCGCTATAGATCTTCTCAACTATCTCTTGGCAATAAGCATACAATCCTATTCCTTAAATTGCAACGATTTCTATTGAGATTAGGCGCATTCACACCCCAGTACTTTTCCCACAAAGGTTCATGAGAACTCTTTAGTTCTCATGAACTAATACAGATCGCGTTCACACCGGAATAAGTTCCTGGGGAAGGATTAGGCAAATGAAGCCGCTGACGTCACTTCTTCTGCTTTGGGTTTACTGGCAGGCCGCAAACAACTTCACGGCGTATAGAGTGGTGAAGTCCCTCCCTTTCCGGTTGAGCTCCATGGGACCTTATTTCGGAAAAATTATGTATTGAAGTCAATGGAGAGAGAAAGATTATCTTTCGATCCCGTTTGAATTGTGCCACGAATTACACATAGGCCTATGATGTTTGTCAATTTAAAAGATAATTTTGCAAGTCAAAAAAAAAAAAATGTGTCGTAAAACTCTGAAGTAACACATTTGTTTGTGTGAAGCACTCAATGAACTACAACTCTGGTCTTGCATATGTCACCAACACCAAGATGGCCGTCACGTTAGCACATTTCACCTCTTTCTTTCAGAATGAAGTGAAAAGTATTAAAAGAGGTGAAAATCACTACAAGTCTGGCCATGTTGAGAACTGTACATACACAAAAGGGGAGTTAGTCGGTTCCGTAAGAGCCAGCATGTAGGACCGGCTTTACAAGGTTTCGGTGAGTAACGTTAATGTCTTGCTAAATTCACTTGCGTGACTCTGGGATTTGTAGTCTTTCTAGTTGCGTATTTTTCATAGTCTTATATTTCAACAGTTTTAAGACAAACTGTGACTTTTGACATGGAAATTATTTTTTAAGATTGACAAACATCATATGTGTAATTCATGGCACAATTCAAAAGGGATCGAAAGATAATCTTTCTCTCCCCATTGACTTCAATACATAATTTTTCAGAAATAAAGTCCCATGGGGCGGAAGTAGATGGGCGTGACTTCGCCACTGTATCAGCAGCGAATATTAGGCCCGCCCGCGCGTATTTCGGTTTATTCATGGCAGTCATTTTGTTATTCTACAGTAGCCTATTGTTGTTTTATAGTTATTTGTTAATGTATACAACCCAATTTGTGTTCTTTGAAATTGAAAAGGATATTGCATTGTGTTTGTTACTTTCGTTGCAGTTGTATATGTCTTAAGCGTAATTTGGCATGACTACCTATTTTTTAAGGACATGCTTTTATTTTGAAGGAGAGTTAGCCCTGTTGACAGGACGTTTTTGTTGCTATGGAAACAACGTGACTGAGATTAACGGAGAAAGTAAACAATAACGTTTATGGTTAAGTGTTAGCAACCCCCGAAGAGGCGTAAGCTCTTATGTTGATATTGGAGATTTCAATCAATTCAATCAAAAACGAAAAAGAAAAAAAAAATCGATTACCCGAATAACGAAATTGAAACCCGAATAGTACTCCAACGAACGAATATTCGGATACAGCCAGGGCCGCCCCTGGCCAACTTGGGGCCCCGAGCGACATTGTGAGATTTGTTTTTTTCCCTCTTGCTTGCTCCGGACTGAAACTGTCTTTTCACCGACATCTCTTCACCTGCACTAGTGGCCGTATCAAAGCCGTGATTGGTCAGATGTCGATTAATTGCAACAGTGTCGGGTTACAGACGTGCTCCACTTGTCACCTCTCACTCTCGCGTGTCAGCAGGGGGTGCGTGGAGAACTGCACACAGCAGCTGAGGCACTCTGGGCGGGGCCCCCTGCTCAAGGCGGGGCCCCATGCAGCCTGCGTGATTGGCCTGTAGGGAGGGGCGGCCCTGGATACAGCCCTAGTGTTAACATGCTAATATTTGCTCAAAAGCTTGGAACAAAGTAGAGCTGAGGCTGAATGCAATCACTAGGTAGGTATTTGGTCATGAACCAAAGTAAGGGACCAATAAATCATATTAAAACTGCGCAAGATGAGAAGTTGAGAGATCCTTTTGGGACCATGAGTGTTTGAAACAAATCTGATGAAAGTAGTTATCCTTGAGGATATCCATTCCTGTTTATACCATGCAGGTATTGAACAGGGGACTTCAGATGTGTCCTGAGGGCCTGAGGCTTGGAAATTAGGATTGTCTCTGACTTTGCCATCCTGAGAGCCAGCCAATGAAACATTTTACCATGTCCAGATTACCAGCTTTTCTCCATCTCATATAATATTTATCTAACAGAAAGAGGAAACACTATTGTTGAAATGATCGCACATATGTTTTGAGTTTAACATCGATTGGCATTAATGCAATTGAAACATCTACAGCGCTCTGGTACAGTTTATGATGTAATAGAAAGAAATAACAATGTCTCATTTTCAAAGCAGAATTGGCTTGCTAGCTAGCTGTATCCGAAATCCAATAAGAAAATCCATTAAAGAGATAATAGGTGTTTCACAACACAAAACAATTTTGCTTTGTCAGCTAAAGAGCAACATGTATTGTGACACAGGCATTTATGACAACATGGTCTGATTGAAAAAGTATGTATTTTAAGTATGAGGAGGTAAGGAGGGTCTTGGCCAGAAAGAGCCAGGTATCTGTGTATCTTATGGGGTAAAGGTTGGGCCATTTGGTACTGATCAAATCTTACAGCTATGTGAAGCCTTGATATAGTAAAAAAGCTCAGATACTCACTGTTGCTTCAAGTAAAACATACTGTGAAGGCTCTTATCCTGACATGTAGGCCACAGTGTTGTGCGGATTGAGAGTCCGCTCCTCTGAGTCGAAGTCAAGAGTGTGTGAAAAGAGACTGCCATCAGTCAGTTTATGCAGTGGAATGCTTACTCAAATAAAACGGGAGTAAAAAGTGCTGACAATCACACAGTGACACAGTGGCTTTAGAGCTAAGCTGCTGCTGCTGCGGTTGTTATCTCACCACTGTGTTAGGTGGACATGACAACTTTATTACAGCCAAGAGGAGCTGAAAGTTTCCCAGGCCTCTTTCTCATGTGCAAAGGGAAGTCATCTATTATGCATCGCATAAAACACGATAAGCAAAGTATTTATAAAGTTTAATTCGAGCTGAGAGGTCAGGTCACTGATGGACTGTGTGTAGTCTTGCTGGTGCCAGGGCCTGTGTGTGGGTGCTACAGAGAGCATACTGTCTGACAGTCATCTCTCCTAAATGTTTGCTTGGTTGCAGGCACACACTCCTCATTTAATGACAGTGTAACATGCCAGTATTTATCTTCTATCTCCGCCAAGGAGGTTAGGGTTTTGGTTCAGTCAGTCTATCAGCAGGGAAATTTACGAGCCATTTCATAAATCTTGGTGGAAGGGTGTGGTACAGGCCCAGGAAGAACTGAATCTGAATTGCACGTTCACTGTTAAAGAGGACATATTCTGAATTTCAGGTTCATATTTTGTATGTCTACTGTGACATGTTTCTATGCTTAAATGTTCAAAAAGCTCTTTATTTTTCTCATACTGCCTGTGCTGCAGCACCTCTTTTCACCCTCTGTCTGAAACCAGAGCCCAGTCTGCTCTGATTGGTTAACCGCTTAGAGATGTGTCGGAAATCTCCCGCCCCTTGGCCTATCACATACAAAATGTTGGAGCCCCTACCAATAGAAGCGCGAGTGCTAAATAGTGATGTCATTATGTTACGGAAGTAAACAAAGGCTGAGGTGGAGTGTGTTGAGAAACTCCCTCTTGAAGGATCTTTGGGCTTTTTGCCTTTGCAAACCACTTACATGCACAAAAACCCATCGCTTCAGGAAAAGGAAAACCACAAAAAGCATAATCGGTGCCCTTCAATATTGTAGTTTGTGTGTCGGAATAATCTGAAAAAATAAATTGCCCCTGGGAAACTACAGCTGTCAGCATTGTTGCCATTGTTGGCTATGTTAAGCGGTTAGCATCGTTAGCTGGATGCAGGGTCAGCAGGTGCCATGTTGAGAGCCGTGTGGGGCCAATGCCTCTTTAATATGCTCTGAATTCCATATCCAGAACCTTTCAACCACAAACACATGATAGCCAGAAGAATGACTCCCCACATCTTGAGTGCTATAAAAGTAAGGGGCTACCAGAATAAAAAGAGCACAAGTTATACTAGTCTTAAATAACTTGATCACATTTAATAAAGCAAGGCTGTTTTTTGAAGACTTTTTAATACTTCAATGTCTCCAACGTGGGAAAGTAATTCCAATTATAGATCCTCCAATTACTTCCCTTATTGTACGCTGCAGGATGATAAAGCAATGCATCATAGCAACAACAGCAAATGTCAGCTGTCTTAATCAATAGACCCATTGTCTCAGATGACTTGCTGTATGAATAGCATCAGCACTGTATCAAAGAAGCAGGCCATAACTGCCCTGCAACTCCACTATAGTGCTAGCATAAGCTCTAGTCTTTGCCATTGTAATCAATGTACAGTACATGGGGCTAGTGGAGCTGTCAACTTAAACACAGAGAACACAGTGTGACAGGCAACATCCCTTTGCCAACACTCTCAGTACCACTCAGCACTATATTACACTGCCAGCCTATACACCACTCAGCCTTTAAAGGAAACTTTGCTGAACTGCACTTTTGTGCGCGTGTGTGTGTGTGCGTGTGCATGTGTGCGTGTGTGTGTGTTGGGGCATGCTCAAGCAAGAACAGGAGGCACTGGATCTGCCCTGTTCTCTCATTAACACTCTCCCCATGTCGGCTAATCACACTCCCATTGTGTGGCTGGTAATGTGGCTTCAGTTCTATACACTGCCAGTCCATTCTCTTTCCTTCTCTCTCAACGTTAAAAGCCAGACACTGGTCCGTAAAGAGGTGCGTTAATGCTAACACAATATTATAATTAATATTCTGACAGCGTACACGTGACTGTTTCCATAGTGATGAACCTGGAGCAGACTTAAGGGAAAAGGTGTTATTAAATAGTAAGAGTGTCTGCATTAAACAGGAGCTGCTGGGATGATTGCTCCAAATCATATTGTTCTGAATAAAATGGAGAAGCACTTAAGCTGCCTCCCTGTAATCATAATGATATATTAACCATAACCTGCTATGCTACTTAGGGTGTACACAATAAATGTGTAAACAATTACATGTCTTTTCTATACGAGTCATTTAATTACAAAACTGTAAGATAATACAGTTGTTCTTACAGGGGGAATCTGTAGGGGACAGACATTGTACGAGTGTTATGCATTGTTCTTGTTACATTTTAAGTGTCCAAAACTGCCAAGGAGCTCGCATTAAAGGTCTGCTCTTATTCAAAATATTTTGTAAAATGCAAATTCTTCATTCAAATATAGAAGGGCCTACATAGTCCTAAATCAGCCAATCTGTTATTTAAATAAAAACATTGCCCTTTTCAGATAAGTGCTTGCTCGTGCTGAAAACATTTAACAGTTGACAACGTTGTGTCGTTTGTTGAATAAATCAAGAGTGTACAGACATCCTGTTGCCACACCTCTGTGTGGCTGTACATAGTGATGACTTGGGATAAATGTCAACAAGCTAACATGCATAGAACATGCTAGAACATGCTAGAACATGGTGCTATTTAGCAGGTGCAATGTTTAACTTGGTCATCATCTTAGTTTAATGTGATAGTGACATGATGGTCGCACAAGATGAACTTGAATGCAATTAATTTTATGACTATAGATCCAACAGTATACAAGTCTAGAAAAAAAACAACTACCTTATGCAATATGTCATATTGGCCGAAACATATTTATGTTCCGGCTTTCATCTGCTGATACCAAGGATGTCTCTATAACACTGTATCCCCCCCAAAAAAGCATCTTTAGGCCATTAGTGCTAAAACGTCAGCGTATTGGCATTAATATCTTAATTGAGCATAATAGGCCCCCTCTATTATGCTCATTTTCAGGTTTATATATTTGTATTTAGTGCCTCTACTGTGTCATGTCTCCATGCTTTAATGTTCAAAAAGGTATTTTAATTATATTCGTACTGCCTGTGCTACAGCACCTCTTTTCACCCTCTGTCTGAAACCAGAGCCCAGTCTGCTAGGATTGGTTAGCTGGCCTGCTCTGTTGTGATTGTGGTCCCCTATTCTTCTCCTTGTACACAAACTTGCTCGGATCGGTCATTAGCCCGCATGGATTTTCATACCACTGCTACGCTGACGACACCCAATTAATTCTGTCTTTTCCCCGTTCTGAAACCCAGGTCGTTGCACGCATCTCTGCTTGCCTAGCTGACATCTCTCGGTGGATGTCTGCTCACCACCTCAAGCTCAACCTTGAGAAGACTGAGTTGATTTTTCTTCCGGGAAAAGATTGTCCCACTCTTGACCTAACAATCAACATCGGCACCTCTGTTGTTTCCCCGACTCAGACTGCAAGGAATCTGGGTGTGACCCTAGATAACAAACTGTCCTTCACTGCAAACATCGCTGCAACAACCCGCTGCTGCAGATACACTCTTTACAACATCAGGAGGATACGTCCCCAGCTGACCCAGAAAACGACACAGGTTCTGGCCCAGGCTCTTGTCATCTCACGCCTAGACTACTGCAACTCCCTCCTGGCTGGTAGGGGTATAACGGTACACGTACCCGTACCGAATAAGCCCTTTGGTTCGGTACACGTGTGTACTGAAGTGTACCGAACGAATATAACGTAAAACGTAACAAATTGAGAACGTGAACAACTTTTNAAGTAATAATAATAAAAATATTCGTTTTATTTCGATTACATTGTTTTCGTAATCGTTCCAAGCCATAATCGTAATCGCGATGAAAAAGGCCCATACCTTTTTCTAAAATTCACTTAAATTAAAAAATGTTCTGACCCAAAAGTCCAAAACTGAAAGATATTGAATTTTAAGGGATAGAGAAAAAAACTAAATAAATCTTTATATTTAAAACTTCAACCAGCAAGTTGTGCTGTTCTTCTTGGCTAATTGAATCCTTAATTACCT